AATGTACCAGGCTCCAGTAATGCTATTGTTTGCTGCCTACGTTCATAATTAAAAGAAAGGCTTCATTTCAGTTAGAGGTCAATGAAAATAAGGAAGTAGATTTTTCCCATCCAAGTTCATGAACCCCAGGTCTATAACATATTTAGCACTCCTTTATCCTCAGCTGTCACAAATTAAGAGGTAACCCAGAAATTCTTTTCACATCCATTACATGGACTTCCATTGGGAAAGTAATTTCAAAACACAGTCTTACAAAAGTGTGTAATGGTTTGACAAATGACTGCTTATTGAGCAGTACATGGAAGGCAGTGGTTTACGTATGTTAACTCAGCACTATTCACAGTGATCCTTGATAGGTCCCATTGCTATTTCTGTTTTCCAAAGGAGGAAAATGGAGCGCAGAACACTTAGGTAACCTACTCAAGGTCACACAGTTTAGTAAATGGTAGAGCCAAGATTTGGACCTAAGTAGTCTGAATCCATAGTCTGTGCTCCTAGCAGTTTTGCTATACCATCTCTCTTCCCAGAATGTGGAGGGAAAGTGAGATCTTAACGAAAACCTTTGGGAAGAATAGGAGTTAACTAAACAGGTGACAGAGAAAGAAAGAGAGAGCGTGATGATGTAGAAAGGAGTCTGGGAGAGTATTTTAAGCAAATGTAATGTCTTAAGGGTATTACTTGGTGTTGAGATAGCTTGGAGAGAGAGGGAATCTATTATACCTACCTGTGATCCCATATTTCAAAATCAATTTTAATTGGATTAAACATTTAGTTATTTTAATATTTGAAAAATCAATCATGATAAAATTAGAAAAGAAAGATAAATATTTATTAAGTTTTCATGGAGGGAGGAAAGTAAAAAATGGATCAGCAAGACTGTGTTCATTCTGGAGGCAATAGGGGAAAATCTGTTTTCTTGCTTTTCTCAACTTCTATAGGCCTCTTGCCTTCCTTGGTTTATGGCCCCATCCGCCAGCGGTGTAGTAACATCTTATAATTTCTGTCTTTCCACTATACCCCCCCCCCAACATGCTTCCAGCATCACCTCTCCTCTGACTCAGACCCTCCTACCTCCCTCTTATGAGGACCCTTGTGATTACATTGGGCTTACCTAGAAAACCCAGGATTCCCACCATCTCAAGGTCCTTAACATAATGACATCTGCAAAGTTCCTGTCACCATGTAAGGTGCTAAATTCACATGTTTCAGAGGACATGATATGGACATCTTTGATTGCAGGGGGGCAAAGAGATAATTATTCTGACTGCCAGAGTTGTACAAGGCTATACTGACATAATGGATATTTACTTATGTCATAGAGGCTGGGCTCCCTGGTGGCTGGGGGGGACTTCAGAGTGACCATTCTGCAGTTCCCTGGGCTACTTCTTTAAACATACAACAGAAATTGCCAAGCAGGGCAGTCCTATTCTGTTCCATTTTGTTGGTAGAATCTTAATTTGAGTTGCTATTAGCTGTTGGGGCTCACAACTAACTTAATATCATCACAACAAAGTCCCTTCCAACCCCACCCCCATTGTCCTGGGACACAAGGACTCACTATTAATCTTCCAATGACACTGATTCCATATACCTGTGAAGAGAGTACTCTGTGAAAAGCCACGAGCCTCTGTGTTCTAGGGTTGGTCTGTTAGCACAAGTATATTTACAGAAAGACAGGCCATGGTGTCATAAAATAAACCAAGAGAATATGAGATATGTGAGTTAATGAGCCCACACGACGAGACAGACTTGATACTAAGAGCTTTAAGCGTGATGTGCACTACCTCATTTCATTTAACTTACTTTATATTGACCTATTACATACTATTCTTATCCCCATTTTACAGATGAAGAAAATGAGGCATGGGGAGGTTAAAAAACAAGCTCAAGCTTTCTCAGCTACAAGTGGAGAGTAGAGTTGTGAACTAGGCCAGTCTGATCAACTGCCTGTGTTCTGATCCACCAAGACTTCATAAGTGGTAAATTCCTTTAGTAGACTTGAGCCAAGCAAGTTGAAGCATCAAAGGTCTGTTTACATGGTGCACTGCATAAATTTCCAGAACAGCATAGGTAGGTGTGGGAATGGGATATGGGGGGTTGGAATTTTGTGAAGCCTCTGAGGTTAAGCTACAGGCCCATTTGTCCACACTCTCAATGCCTCTCTCCTCGCCTCTCTCAGATGGTCCTATTGGCCAAGGACTCCACAAAACAACCTGGGGAAATGGAAAGAAAAAATTCCTGAGAGAAGTCCCTTATCTGCTTCTAGGAGCTCTTGGCAGAAGTGGAAAAAAACCACCTAGCTTCTTTCCCAGGTGCCATAATATATTATGGTAAGGATCTGAAGACCAAGCATATCTGCTCATAGGCATTGGACACATCCTGCACTATTCACAAGAAGGAAAGCTAGACAAGGAAGTGCGCCCCTCTGTCTTTCCTTCAGTATTTACTTGTTTGCAATTACAACTCAAGTGTGACTACCTAATTCCATCTCTCTACTAGACAGTAATTTCCAAGATAGCAGGGATGTACTTGCTCATAATAGTGCCTAGCAAGTAGGTATATGATAAACATTCCATTTGGTGAGTAAATTAGTGAAAGAGTGAACATATGAGCTAGTGTCAAAGAGATCTGACTTCCCCTAGTGTTCAAATTCCAGGGCCACCATTGTTACCTGGCAAAGAGAAAAACTAGACCCCATGGGGTCAAGGCATTTCCTAATTAATAGAATAGTCTCCCTGATTCATATAGTGATAGATGCGCTAAGTCAAGTGTATTTACAACGAATTTCATTTCCAGTGACAAATGTATTCTATAGATTAAGTAAAAAATACATCATTATACATGCTTCACAGTCAACATTTACATTCTGGGAATTTTTTTTAAATATATTTTTATTGATTTTACACAGAGAGGAATTGAGAGGGATAGAGAGTTAGAAATATCGATGAGAGAGAGTCATCGGTCAGCTGCCTCTTGCACACCCCCCACCGGGGATGTGCCCGCAACCAAGGTACATGCCCTTGACCGGAATCGAATCCGGGACCCTTCAGTCCGCAGTCAGACGCTCTATCCACTGAGCCAAACCGGTTTCGGCAAGGGAAATTTATTTTTGGCATTGAATATTCCAAGAAAAAGAAATAATTCAAGAAGAGCCTGTGACTCTATCACCAAATTATTTTGCCTCTTGTCAGTGAAACGAATAGGGTACATAAATAGCATACTTAATTGTAAATCCAAATAAAACATTTTTTCTACTTTCTATCTCTCTGCTCTGTTTCTTGTGATCCAGAGGTTACAGGTTACAAGAATTAGTATCTACATATACTAGTGTAAAAGGCTAATATGCTAAGTGTCTGACCATCTGACCAGTCACTATGACATGCACTGATCACCAGGGGGCAGACACTCAATGCAGGAGCTGCTGTGAGGCGCACTAGCCATTTACAGAAAAATGGCACCACAGACCTGGCACCCACAAAACAACACTCAGCTTCCCATAAGTGGGACACAGGTCCTGCCACCACCTTGGAGCAACACCCCACCAAATCACAGACAATGCTGCCAAGACCTCATAGTGCAAAATGCAGCCCACAGCCCAGCTCAGCCCAGCCCAGGAATGGTGGCTATGGGCATCAGGTAACGATATCACGTAACAACACCCAACTTCCTCTCCCTAGTGACTAGCCTCCTTGCAGTTTCTTTAGCCCAGGAACACAACTAGCCTTATAACCAGGTAGAAACATTTTACTTTAACCAAATGTCTGTGAAGCATTTCCCCATGCCTCATCTCATTTGATCCTCACAGAAATCCTGGAGCAGGTAGGTAGACTTGGTGGAATCCTTTGTCATTAGCTGGAAAACAGAGATTTAGAAAGCTTAGAAACTTGACCCGACTGAAAAGAAGTAAGAAATGGCACGTCTTAAAAATGACTTCAGGTTTTCTTAATGCGCAGAATATAGTCAACCACTGCTACTTTTAAATATTTTACCCTTTGCCAAAACCGGTTTGGCTCAGTGAATAGAGCATTGGTCTGTGGACTGAAAGGTCCCAGGTTTGATTCCGGTCAAGGGCATGTACCTTGGTTGCAGGCACATCCTCAGTAGGGGCTGTGCAGGAGGCAGCTGGTCGATGTTTCTCTCTCATCAACATTTCTAGCTCTCTATCCCTCTCCCTTCCTCTCTATGGAAAGTCAATACAATTTTTTTTAATATAGTTTATTGATTTTTTTACAGAGAGGAAGGGAGAAAGATAGAGAGCTAGAAACGTCGATGAGAGAGAAACATTGACCAGCTGCCTCTTGCACACCCCCTACCGGGGATGTGCCCGCAACCAATGTACATACCTCTGGCAGGAATCGAACCTGGGACCTTTCAGTCCGCAGACCGACGCTCTACTGCTGAGCCAAACCGGTTTCAGCTCAATACAATTTAAAAAATATATATTTTACCCTTTGTTCTCCCTGCGTGATCTACAATAATAATCTGCTTTGTGTTGATATTTACTGCTGTGTTGCTAACAATTACCTAAAAGAGAAGCTGGGGTGCTTCACTGGGTTGGAAAAAAGTTTAGCTAAATCAGAAAGCAGGTCTAATTAACCAAGTTTATTCTATATACAGAAAAGGCTAAGTTGACTCGTGCATAAATGATACATATACAGTTCTTGCTAGTGATGTCATTGCTAATCATGAATTTGGTTGGCACTTCTATTATAAAGGGGGAATAGCAATATTAAAATACTTCTAATTAATTTCTTTTCAAGCAAAATTAAATCAAAGTATTTTAGGGTTTATATGATCTATTTTCACAAAGAAGGAAGACTCCCTGAAAATTAGAATAGCGGGAGCCCTTTCGGGTGGGAAGGCCTGGCTGGGGACGCTGTTACTAAGCAACCCCTAGCGCTTTCAACTGCCCTCAGAGCTGAGGAAATCTGTGTCCCAACACAGCCCTGCCGTAAACCCGCGCGCTTTTGCGACATTGCCGTGCCTGCCGATGCGTGCGCGCCCTCTGCCCCCACTCTCCGCCCCAACCGCCATTGCCTCGTGCCCGCGTCGGTTGGTGGCGCCTTTGTCCTACGGCGGGCAGGTGGGCTGAGGCGGAGGCGGCGGCGGCGGCGGCGGCGGGCCTGAGGCCGAGGAGCATCGAGGAGCCCGCCGTGCTGGTAGCGGTGAGTGCCGGGGAGCGGTGGCCGTCCGCCGAGGCGTGGGACTGACGGGCAGGCGGTTGAGGCGGACCCGGGCCGGATGGGGAGGCTGAGCCTGGAGGGCCTGCCTGCCTGACGCGCCACGGCGGCCGCGGCTCCCGCTGGGTGCGCGCGGGGCTGCGCATGCCCGGTGCGGGGCGCGGCCTCCTCTGGGCGCTCGTGCGGCCCAGGCCCGGCCATTCCGGGAGGCCGGTGGCTGGCGCGGGTCCCGCGGCGCCGCACTGCAGCCGCCTGTCTGCGCGCGAATCGCCGACCATAGCCCGCAGGCCTCTCTGTAGGATAGGGATGCACATCTCGCCCTGCTTCTCTTACGTGGTGAAATCGCTCGCCTGCGGGTCATCAGCGAGAGAGGTGGCGCAGTCGGGATTCGAACCCGGGTGGAGCCTGGCCACCTCACCCGGCCTTCTCCGTGGGGTGCGGCGAACCCAGCGGTGTCCGGGATCCCCGCGGCCCCTTGACAGCATCCTCGAGGCGTCTCCTTGTCCTATGACAGCCCAGTCTAGTTTATAACGCGGACCCCGGGCCCGGAGAACCGGGAAAGAAACGGTGCCGAGGTTACCCCGGAATTAGCGACAGAGCCAGCACCCCAACTTGCTGGCTCTCCTGTCTTGTGACCGATAGCACTTTAGACACCGGGACAACCCGCCGGGGCCTTTTTGTTAGGACGGCGTTCCCCAAATTCCAGGCTCTCGCGTTGCACCTTTACGTCCGGGGACCTTCTATACTGCTATTTGTTTTACCAAATGTTAATTTTTCCCCCTTTAAACTGACTCTCCTTCTCTCCCTACCCCCTTTCTTACATATATTTGTTTAGGGTGGAAACGTATGTCACAACTGTATAATGGAAGTCAGTTATCTTTCTAATGATCAAAAAAATAAAAATAAATACCTATCCATTAAAATAAACAGTGCGTTCTTGTTCTTGCTGAAATTACTCTGCTCTCCACGCTTTGGGAAACGCTGCCCTTAGGAGTATGGGGTGAATTCTGGCCTTTACCCTGAGCACAGAATTTTTCCCCGAGGCATAGCAGATTCTGTGAAATGCCCCCAGGATTTTGGGGGTTGGTAATTAATATCATAAACGTTCTGGTTGTAAAGTGTTTTTATTATTGTCTTAAAAATGATAGGAGGGATGCAGGAACTCTGCGCTCAAGGGCATCCAGTGTGCCTTAGTTTTCTTGTGTTGTGGTGTGGTGGTCACCTGACAGTTCATAAAAAGATGTTTCTGCAGACATTAATGGAGCAGTTTGGGGTTTTGACAGCTCAGGATTTAATGGTTTTTTTTAAATTAATCAGTCTGGATGTGAAAACTAACTTTCAGTGGTGACTTTTTCAAACCAGTAAAGCCCAAACTTGCATTGTGGGTATTGGAGATGACTTGACTGTGTAAGATCAGATTCTTCCTTCATCCTGGTTTCTTTGCCTTTCTTTTAGCTCCAGATATTCTTTGAAACTTCTGACAACAATCTTTTAACCTAAAACATAGAAACAGTGATTCCTGATAGAATGTGCTGGAGAAACCACACTGCAAGGCCCATTGGAAGGAATTTTTCTGGGTGCAGGTTACCCAATGTCCCATGCCTGTCAACACACATTTAAAGGAGGCGTTGACAAATTAACAAGCTAACAGTCTGTTCTATTTGTAATCTGTTCATAACCTCTGTTGTGTGTGAGCAAGCATATTCACTTTAATTTATTAAAAGGTTACTCTGAAAAGTCAGCTCAGGCTACTCAAAAGATTTTTTTCCTCGGGCTGTGTAAAAAAACCCCTCCATATTTCTTGGGATAATTTTGGTATGAGCATAATGTAGAAATTACATAAGGCTAGGGTCATTTTCTTCACATTTCTAAGCAGCAATTCTTAGAGAAGAAATGATAATTTTTTTACATGAGTCAGTTTCAGAACTTCAGCAAATGGAGCCTCATCTACCTGTGCTCAAAAGCTAAGAATAAACATCTTATGGAAAGGCTTTAGAAGGCTGATGAGAAAGTGCCTATGGTTTCATTTTAATTAACCATTGCAAGCATTCCATCTCTGTGGCCTGCAGATGGCAGTACCTTTTTACGGCTTGTTACTACTGTGAGAATTACTAAAATTTAGTTGTGCTTCTAAGAATGGAAAACCTTTGGAGTAAGTATATTTAGTATTTTAATTGCTTCAACAATTTTTGTTTTTGACTTCCAGGAAAAATGAAATGTCTGTTTCTAAACTCATATTACTCTTAATGGTAATAACATATAACGAGCAATGCATATGGTTTATGAAGCAGGTTTACAAATACCAACTCATTTGCTCCTATCAATCATCTTGTGAGATAGGTAACTGGTAGTATGTCTTTTTTGCATATGAGGAAATAATGTCTCAGAGAGGTTAGATTTCTTGCTCAGATCACATATTGAAGATAAAAGATTTCATGATCAAGCAAAATTGGGACATGTTGAGGTAAAGTGGTGTCCTTACTCCAGAACTTCTCAGGGGCTTTTAACATGTTAAACATATGCAATGTAGATGTCCAAGAGAGAAAAATACCATGATGCCTTTCTCTCTATACCCCCAGGAACATCTTGAAGTACCACTATATCCCAAAACTTACTCTTTCTGCTACACTTTATTTTCTCTATATACCTTTGGTTTACTAGTGATTACTGTGTGTCTTTGAGACAAGTGTTTTTAAAATTCAGTTAGGAAAAAAATAAGTTCAATTAGCTTTTTTGTGCCAAAAGATTTGCCTTGTGAATAGAATATATGTTTTGTCTAGACCAGTGTTTCCCAAAGTGTGGTACGCGTACCCCCAGGGGTACGAGAAGAGTTTGGTGGGGATACGCATTGCACCGGATTTGGTGGGGATATGCACTGCACCGTGCTTAGCTGCGCCTAATTCTACGTTCTCATGAGTACGAGGGGTACTCAGCGTTACGAAAATTATAGAAAGGGGACACATATATCAAAAGTTTGGGAAACACTGGTCTAGACTATTCAGTTTATGCAGAGTTAAAGAAAGTCAAGAAATTAGGAGAGGAGTACCAATAGAAAGTTACCTTTGTGTTAGTTTCACTAATGAGAGACTTTAAAAGGATCAGGGTAAGGCCACTGTCTGAAGCAGCAGCACATTAGGGAAATATGAAGTATACTGACAACTAAATATATAATACCAGCATGCCTGCTGCTTTTTAAATGGTGGTTTTATTACCACCAGATAATGAATATTTATAAGGATGGTCATTTTCATCCTATCACTAAAAAAAATAAACGTAATAGTCAACTGGACCAATTACTTTATGATAAGAAAGTAATTCCCCTCAAAGAATTAGAACTTTTTCTGTTCCTAAGACTCTTTTTTCTTTTATTTCATGTTCAAAACAATATTATTGTTGACCAAAGAACAACAGCTTTAGGCAAGGATCAGGGCAACTGAAGTTGCATTGGAGAGCAGAGTGTCACACTAACTTTATAAAATATCTTGAGTGATCTGGTTGTCATCTGGAATGACTGAGTTACGGGAGATTTGATTGATCCTGCAGCAAATGGATGAGCTTTGGAGAACTTTAAATTATAATTAATTTGATTTTGCCCTAACCAGTGTGGCCCATTTGGATGAGGATTATTCCATGCACCAAATGGTCCCCGGTTTGATTCATGGTCAAGGTACATGCCTGGGCTGTGGGCTTGATCCCACTAGTAGGCGTGCAGAGGCAGGCCATTGATGTTTCTCCCTCTCTCGAGATCTATTAAAAATAATGAGAAATTTAGTTTTAAGTGAGTATACTTAATTTTGTAATTGGATCAGAAATTATACAAGAAGTTTATTTTTAAACTGTTTAAAGTTCTTTTTGACATACAATAGAAAAAAATAGGGGGGGGGAATGTGATTTTTGGTCAGTTTTAAAATTAAGGATTATAGATGTGTAACTGAACCTTTTGCAGTCTTTGGGAAACTTACATTAGAACATCATCAGTCACTTGAACAGCTCAATGGAAATACAGATCCTTAGATACAGCTCCCAACCCCTTACTGGTATCTGGAGGTGAGGCTAAGGAATCTGTCTTTCAAAACTCAGTGCTGTGATTTTTTTTTTTTTAATGTACATTAAAGTTTGAGAACCCCTGATTTAGGACTTTAAAAGATTAGTTTTCACTGGTTTGTGGTTGGATTTACATTAATAGATTTGTTTTAAACAAGACCTTAACTATAAAACTGTTTTGGCTTCATAATTTGAACAAGAGGTAATAAGAATAGTTATGATTTCTGTTGGTCTTCAATACTTTTAATTCTTTCCATTTAGTAGGATGCTTTCACCTTCTTGAGAACAAAGAAAGCTGACCTACCAAGAGTTCATGGTCTGCTTATGGATGTAAAATTATATATGTGGTCATTTTTCTCTTTCTGCAGAGAGTCGCATTTAGATACAGCAAAATGCCTCAGAAGTAGATGTTGTAGCCCCTCCCAGCAAAACAATACTGACTGCTCTAATTTGCCCATTATTAGCCAAAGAAGTGTATAACCTGCTAAAGTGGCAAGGTCGGTGTCTAATATTTTTTCTGCCATTTTATAGCTAGGTAATTGAAAAAAGAAGCTTAAATTTTTGGGCTACCTTTTAAATGGTCAAATATAATTGAAGAGAAGTTGCAGGGGGAGACAACTGACCTTAGAATTGGACATTATTGTTACCTTTAGCACTATGGAAACTTTGGAAGGAGCTGTGTGATTAAGCCTTCTGTGTTGTTTGCAGGGATTAAACTTTTACAGATGTAAGCCATTGTCTTGATATTTTTTGTGACAGAGTATGAGTTATTCCTCCTTGAACACAGGAGAGATTTGTGAATGGAGGACCTATGAGTATTGTTATTTGTATATTAAAGTGCACTAAAGGGATAAATAGATAATAGAATAGTGGTTCCCAAATAACTGCCAAGAATCATCTGAGAAACTTGTTAGAATACAGATTTTTAGGCTTCATTGTCA